CGCACGCACGCACACACGCACACACACACACACACACACACACACACACACACACTGTGTGAGAAGCGACTGTCATTCTTCTTTCTTTTCTCTGCTTTTTAAATTACAATATGTGTTTCTATATTTAAAAAAGAAATCTCTTTCTTCACTTTCATCTTTTGGAATTTTTTCAATCTTTCCACCGTAAAAGGACATGATTATCATTATAGTATCGCTTTCTCGTGTCTCTTCCACTCTTCTCGCACAAAGTGATTGCGGCGAGAAGATACGAAAGGCTGTGTACGCGAGAAAGGCGGTGAAAGAGATTGATCAACGAGCGTTAACGAGGGCGCGAAGAGCGCCAAGAATTAACGACACTGGGGAGGATAGGGGTTGCGCGACTCTCTTCGATTATTATCCCCTCGGATACATACGCGCGGGGATCGATTTGCGGTTCTCCGTTCCGCAAATTCCGGAATCCCGCCGCGCGGAACCTCGTAGCGCATCGATTTTGCATTAGTTCCGAGCAATTTGCACGACGCAACGACATGGCGATGAGAATTAAATGAATTTCCGACAGCTCGGATGATAGACTCCGCCCGACCGAGGGTTCTAGATTTTTCGGAGAATACGAAATAAAAAAGGTCTTCGGAGAATACGAAATAAAAAAGGTCACGCGACACACACATGTAAATGTCTGTTTCTATCAAGTTGTTGTGTAGTTTAATTTTAAGTTCGGTTCAACAAGTAGCGTTTTCGATCGTAGCGTATTTAAAACGAACTGGGTTGAATTTAATGATGTTATATGTTCTATTATTGATAGAGAATATAACATCAACCAATGATAGAACATGCGATATCGACCTCCTACATCGATGCAAATCCATTATTAATCAAAAACGCTTTTCATTTTCTGATTTTAAGAAAAAAACGAAAATTAAGTTAAACCGAGATTAAAGTTAATCTACAATTGGAAACGGGCGTTAGTGTGCATTCCATTTCACGCATGATGTGCATGATGGATCATTTTACTCTTCATTAATATTCGGTGAACAAGAATAAAATGATACATCAAGCGTGAAACAGAACGCACTCCTACGCGACTATGTAGATTCCGCTTTGAATTCGATCTAAAAATAAGCGTGCCCTTCCATAATAAAGAGAGGATAGACTAATCACCTACACCGCACCCATTAAATCGATCCAATCTCATCCAACTGCCATTAAACTTAAGTCAACTTGACTTGACAAACATGTGAAATAGAACGGCAATGACAGTGACGACAATGAGGTCTCACGTTCCTGTGTATTCTCCTTTGTGTCTGCGATAGTGTCTCTTATTATGAACTTGGGATTCATTTCAACAACAGTTGACAAGAAAAATCGTGTGATATAACAAGAAATTGCAGATCGCGGCCCTCCTAAAAAATATTTGTTGCAGATTATCACATTTGAAGGAAACAAGGAGAAAAGGGAGACTTCAATGGTTGCATTCCCGTATTCGGATTAAGATATAATGAAATGTAATATTAAAATATTACGATTGTATTATTACTCTTAAACACGCAATCCCTATTATGATACAGACATTCACTCTTACATCGTTTACGACTAGAAACTTAAGATTGTTCGCATACGCAAATGAACGTGATAATACATTTGGTATTCGTTGATATCTATACAGTTCCCATTTATTTTATTAGGCCTTAGCGCGAATAATAGTTTTAGGCCTTGAAATCAAAAGTATTATCAAAAATATCAAGTAGACGAAAGAGTGAAAAATATTTATCAGAAATTGTTATCTTGAAATAAATTGGAACCAAAATGATAGCAGTTATTTGAAAGCAATACACGTATTCAGCTAAATATTTAAATAAAAATGATTCTTAAATAATGGGAAAAGCATTTCATAAATAACACTTATTGTTTAAAGAACGTGATGTGCTGTGTAAATATAGTGGAAGTAAAAAATTCTTATATCATTAGAATATAAGATAACGTAAACATAATATATATATAAAAAAGATTTTTTTTGCTTTAATTTTCTGTATGTTTACAAATCTATTATGTCGTCGTTTCTATTGATCGGGTCTCCCTTGAGTAACGCCACAATCATGCTAAAGAGGAAACAAGAATAAATATTTTCCATTTCTTACTCGCTATATATAAAAATATGTATCTTCCATATTTCTTTTATTATGTATAAATTGTATTTGTAATACTTACCAATAAAGATAAATGAAAAAGAATACAATGCAATATCCGAGATGAATCATACAATCACGCGTGTATCTTTTTAACTTGCTGCGATTGTGAATCTCTGTGGGATCATAAACTCCCATATTACCACTGGGAACGCTAAAGTACTCGTAAAACAACCAAATTGACATTGGTATGTTCATCAGCGTTAATATAAACTGTCCATGTATCAATAAAAGAAATACCACAAACGTATGTCCTATCAACTTTGGCAAAACTCCCTGCAAATGAAAATTAATGAATAATTTACATCACATTTATATACAGGATGTCCCGAAAGTTTTTGCCAATCGCTTTTATGTAGATAGAGTGAACTAAACTGAGTCGAAAAGTCCTACTATTTTGCAATTTTTGCAATAGTTAACAAGATATTAATTATTGAATTGCCAAATATTAGTCTTAACTAATTTTTTATTCAAATATTATCAACTTAAAAAAACTGCAAGAGACATTTATTTTCTTTTCATAGTTTTAAAAATTTTTTCAGAATTTTTTAATACCGTATTTTTTTATGTTAGTAAAAATAAAAAAATGCAGTACTAAAAAGTTGATAAAAAATTCCGAAAAAATTCTTAGAGTTCTATGAGAAGAAAATAAATAATTTTTATCTCTTGCAGTTTTTCTGTAAAATTGATAGTATTTGAATAAAAAATTATTCAAGACCAATATTTAATAATTTTTAATAATTAATATCTTGTTAACTATTGCGAAAATTGCAAAATAGTAGAGATCTTTTCAACTCAGTTTAGTCCGCTCTATCTATACACAAAAGATTGGCGAAAAATTTTTGGGACATCCTGTATGTGTGTGTGCGTGTCATGTCGTGTGCGTGTGTGTGTAAATATATATATATATATATATAAGATATGCTATATCTTATATGGCATATATCATACCATATTTAACTTGGAACAACATTCTTGTGCATTCAGATAATCACACTCAAGATCAGACAGCGTTATAATCTTTACACTTCAGTCAAGGAAAGTAATGATATTTAATAATGTCTAATAACAAATTCAATTATTTGCGTTACACAAGATTAGTGCAAAGCTTATACATGAAATTAGCAAAATTAAATATAAATATTTTAAATAACTAAATATCCAATAATGATATTGTCATATTATTTAACAGAATATACATGTACATATTATTTCATTGTTGATTGTCACTGCATTCAGATACTTTATATAAAACAGCATTTTATTTAACATACACTAATCTAGTAGTAACATAGTAAAAATACAATGTAATCGTAAAACACAATGAATCATTACTTCTTGTTTGTCAATATTAAACAAGAATGGAATGATTTATTTTTGTGCCAGTGTGTTACACTGACTGTGTTCCAATTTACTACCAGCATTGAAAATGCTACAGTTTACGTTACGTGCACTATACATTTTCAGTCAATTTTGCAGTCAATTCGCTGGTAGTCAATTTTGGAACCTAGCCACTGTGTCAGCTGTCTCTCGCTGGAAAACACCAAAGTTCTGATTCTTTCTTGCTTGTGCAGGCGGGAGGAAGATTTGAAATTGGCGCCATTGCATCGCTGCCAATTCCAAAATAACCTCTTATTGCGAAGAAAGTCTCATGCGTAGAAAGGCTATCGTTTCGTGAACCCAGCGTTGAAATTGTCAAAAGAGATGGAATGAACCTGGGTGACAAAAAGGATACATAATACACCAGAAGAAACAGCACACAGCCCGTGACAAATAGCGCGATTACGAACAGAAATGGATCCGCGATTAGGCTCATGACGCTGCTGCTTCTGCGTAAGAACGCTGCTAAATGCTGATCACATGAGATTCGCGGCTTCGATGCTTGATAAGTGCCTCCTCCGAATACTTGTCAGTATCCGTCAATATTTATATTCGTATTTGAATACTCGCTCGCCAGTTAAAGTTTAGTTTTGCTCACTTTTGCCGTAAACTTCCGGGATATCGCTTACAATTGTTGAAATGCACACTTCACAGGGTTGCCAATCGCCAACGGCGGCCAACGCTCAATCTCCTGCAATCTTCTACGATGTCACGGATGATGGTCCTTCGCCTTTCGCATTTATGCAAACTCCAATTAACTTTTACTGAATAAATTACACAAAGTTGATCAAATCTAGAATTCGTAATAATAAAAATACTAATCATTAGATTGCGAATTCCAATCGTTTTCGAAGAACAAATCGATCATTTATTATGAAAGATTCATTCAAGAATTCGCAGAAAGTGTGTGAAAATCCAACACTTGATCGGCTTAATGTATGTATGTATGTATGTACGATATTCTTAACGGAATAATTAATTTGATTTTTATCAATTTCAAACTGTTCTTATAATGTCAATCATACCAACATGCTGGTTTTAAGTTAGCCATTGGATTGCTGCGCATGCATGAAAAATCTGGAAATATTGACTCTAATTCTGTTGGCTACTCTGCAACATATCCGTTGTTCGAAAAATCAAACGAATTCTGTATATTATTTGCGTGTACAGTAACGGAAGTTTGTGTACTCCGTAATTCTCCAGCGATTTTAAACACGGTGATGCTTGACAGTTATGGAGTTATGGGAAAAAGTTATCTTAGAATGGGTGAGTAGTAATTTTATTTATAAGTGCCAAAAATTATACACATAAAGCGTCTCTGTAATCTTTCGTGTATTTACAATCGCACAAACGTTGAATTCTCAATTTCACAATGAATTTTTTCATACTTTTTTATTTGTATTCTTTGCAAATTTTTAATTTTAATTAAGTATTTAAAATATTTTATAATCCTAAAGTTTTAAGAACACTACAACTTTTTAATTATGTTTAATAGAGAGCTCAAGAAGAAATTTGTTTCATAGACAAATTTTTTAAATTTACAGATCAATTGTCTGGAAGTGCAGGACAAACCAGTGAAAAATATAATAGAATTGCAAGATGGAATATTTTATATCAATTTCCTAAAATTAATGTGAGTATTTTGCAACGCAAAACCTGTTATCTAAGCCTATTGTTATTCAATTTATTATATATTACAGAAAATGGAAGAAATTTCAGGATTTTAATCAAGAAGATATTATAAAATTTATAGAAGGCAAGTAAATTCTTATTTTTCATATTGCTTAGTTTCCTAACTGTATCATCTGCAAGTTCTTGAATTTGAAAAGTAAAAATTGAAGTTAGTAGGAATACAATACTATAAGTGAAATATAAATTCCATTTAATTTTTAAAATTTTAAGCGATATATATAAGTAGGAAAATTAAATTTTGTTATATTGTTTGTTTACAGAAGAATATCCTACTTTTAAAGTTAACAAAGATGATAACGAAGAACATATATACATTGCATCTTTGTTATTGTTACATTTGTGTCGAGTACTTTTTGCAATACATCAATCTCTGCAATACAACATGTGTGACAACTTGAGAAATGAAACACAAATTAGAGTTAAAGCCTTTCTTGAAAGTGTTCTACCTATTGGCAAAGATATTACCAAGGAAACTATGAAAGAAGTTATTATGGAGGTAGAGGATACATCAACATCTATGGATAATTGCAGAACACCGCGAACATCGCCCAGTAAGGATTTTTTGAATTCGCCTCTAACATATTCTGGACGTAGCAAAAAAATTTTGATTGAACGGGTTCGAGAATTGAGAGATTTGAAGTGTAGCTTGGCGATAGAACGATTTACTAATGCGGATTTACGGGATGACATATTAATGCAGCACAATAAAATAAAAAAGTTGCAGAAGAAGCTTGACGAAAAATCTGCAAAAATAAAGGAATTACGAGATGGATGGTTCAAGCCAAGCACTCCTCAACCATCTCGTATACAAGAAGATAATTCACAAGAGGATTATTACAAAAGATATATTAATGATATGGAAAATCAATTGAGTAAACAGCAGGATGAAATTAATAAAATGGAGACAGAGAAAGATGCTATGTCAAAGGAATTATGTTGCATGCGTAGAACATCTAAACATTACAAGGAAAGTTTTGCAAACTGCGAACGATCTTTGGAATCTTTAGCAAACAAAATTGAATTAAAGGATAGAGAACTGATAGAACTTAGAATGCATAATGAAGAATTACGCTCGCATATGAAAGAATTGAATAGAAATACTAATCCAGAACAAAGTTTTGAGGTTGAAGATCTATCATGTCCTGCCACTAGATCATTGAACACTAGCGAAGTTTTAAGTACTGTAATCGATATCCAACTCCAGGAAGCCAAAGAAGAATCTGCTATATTACATGCTCAAGTTGATTCTTTAAAAGGAAGATACGATCTTCTTACGAAGGATTATAGAACTGCAATAGAATCCAATAGAGATTTGCAAGAAAAGGTAAAGTCGCTAGATAAAGTGCAAGCAGAATTAAATAATGTGCAGAAGGAATTGGATGTATCAAATGCAGCTGTTGCAAGTTTACAAGTAGAAAAAGTCTCTCTTGTTACTCAAACTGAAGATTTGAAAAATTTACTTTCATTTAGAGAGAAAAAATTATCTGAAACAGAACAATCGAATGTTGCACTGAGTACAGAATTGGAAAATTTGAAACTAGACATGAAGAATTTGAATGAATTATTTGAAAATGAAAAGACAAATTCCTCATATTTGAGCATTACTTTAGAACAAACAAAATCACAGATAACAGAACATCTTGCATGCATTCATAAGCTTACCGATGAAAGAGATTCGTACAAATCTTCCATCGAAAATTGTAACAAAAAATTAAGAGATATTTTACATTGTGATAATCAACAATTTGTAGAGATTAAAACTGATAATTTAAATAATTCGACGCTTAATGACCTTACAAAATGTATTGAAACAATGTTACATAACTGCAATATAATGCGCGTTTCATATGAAAGTGATATCAAAAAATTAAAAACAACAATAGATGAAACAAATACAAATTTATGTAAGCAACAATTAATCATTACAGCTTTAGAAGAACAAAATAAGCAGAATCTTGTGGAACTAGCTAATATCGAGGAAGAGAAGAAGCAAAAGGATTTATTAGTAAGTGAACAAAAGCAAATTATTTTTACATATTCACAAGAAATTGAAGTTCTAAAAGAAATTAGAGAGGAGAAACTCGTTTTGGAACAAAATTTATATGAATTAACAAATAGAGAGTCACTGCTGAGACATGCTATGACACAATTAGAAGAGCTACAGAACATAAATAAAGATCTGAAATTATTAAAAAAAGAAACTGAGCAATACTCTGAAGAATACAAAAAATTTGTTAAACTAACATTTGAAAAATTGCAACATGAATATTACATGTTACATCATGATTATCATAAAGTACAACAAGAAAAGGAAAACTTAGAGTATAATTTCAACTGTAATAAGGAAGAATTATCAAAAATTCAAGCAATAAATACTACATTACAACAAAACTTATTAGAAAATAAAGAAAAAATAGATACTTTAGAAAATAAGGAAAGAAGTCTCTTCACTGAATTAAATGAATACAAACGCAATGTACAAGAATTAAGAGATATGAATCACACATTGGAAGAACTATACGCAGTGATGAAAACTGAAACAAATAATAAACTTGAAAGTCTCAAGTCGGATTGCGCTAAATTATTACTCGAGTTGAAAGATGCCACTGATAAGCTAAATTTATTACATCAAGAAAAGAGTGATACAATGACGCAAATAGGATTAAAAGAAGCTCAAATTAACAAGTTACTTTTAGATGTTTCAGCTTTAAAATCAGAAAAGAATGATTTAATGTATTCTCATAAAGAAACACTTGAAATGAAAGATAAAGAATTAGGAATGAAAGAAGAGGCCTTAGTGACATTACAAACTAAAATGGAAAAATTGAGCAGCGAAGCAAATATGACGGAAAAAAAGATGAAAGAGATAATTATTAATCTTCAAGAAGTAAGATCCAGTCAGGACGCTGTCTTAGCAACTCAAGAAGCAGCTCTGAAAGAAAAGTGTCAATACATAGAAGAGCTTCAAGAAAGATTTGATAATTCGAAGGATATCTTGAATAAAGAACTTGAAGAAACAAAATTATCATTACGTGAGTGTCAAATTAAATTCTTTGACTTAGAAAATCAACTTAATAACCAAAATAGGACAATAACAGAATTGCAAGACACGCTCAAAACAATAAATGTAGAACTTGAAACGAGTAAAGAGTATTGTAAGCATATAGATGCAAGTCAAGAAGAAATTATAAAATTATGCCAAGAATTGGAACATCCAACTAAAAATTTAAATTCTATGATTACGAAAACGTGCTCAGACTTTGATATACATGATGTATTGGAGTATGAATGCATTAATATAGAGAATAAGTATAAGTGTATTAATATAGACAATAATGCAAATATCTTAAATGTCATCAAGACGACTCTTGATGAATTACACAAATCTCAGAAAATTATCTCGCATTTATCATATGCAAATATAGAATTGAATGAAGTTTTATCGAAACAAAAAGTATTTGTAGAGAATAGTGTAAAAGACAAAGAAGAAGTTTGCAGTCTCAAAAATAAAATACGAGAATTAGAAATAATAGCACAGAAACGAAATAATTATATCAAGAACCTCATAAAAAATAAGGAATCTTTGCAGGAATCTTTGCAGAAAGTTTTTGCCACGCGCAATGATTTAGATACTATTTTAACATCAACTAAACAAAAATGGAATGAAATGCTGACAAAGTTTCAAAATATTTTTCATACTGAACATTCCATTTGCGACGAACTTAAACAGCTGCAAATTAAGAAGACAAATCTTGAAGATACATTGTTGAAGTGTCAAATTGATTATTCAGAGAACATCAAATCTCTTTCTGACATTTTATGGGAAAAGTTCTTGTGGACAGAACAAAAATTACATGATACTTATTTATGTTCAATACATGAGAAGGAATGTTTGGATATATTAACTAATGTAGAAGAAGATCAATTTTCTAATGAGAAAATAGTAATTAATATGGAGTTGGAAAAATATAAAACGCTGCAAATTGATGTAATAAAATCTGAAGAAGAGATAGAATCTTTCA